ACTCCAAAGAGAAAGGAAAAATTGAAATCGCATCATATGACCCCTTTAAAACATTAGTGTTGTAGAGTAGAGACCTGCACAGGATGCTTCCTTTATTATCACAAAAAGCTGACATCTCAGTTAATCGCGATCTCCTAAAGCTCTGTTATAACACTAAATATATACACAATGAATCTTTCACAGTGTCTAAAATGAGAGGATCCCGCGCCGCACCCTGTTGCGTTGGGTCCCCCGGGAGTGCAGGTCTCTATTGTAGAGTGACAATGAAGTGTCAGTTGTAGTGATGACCTTTAGAGGGCAGGCTAAAGCTGTGTTGGTATTTGCTTAAAAAGCAGCAGAGAAGAACTTGGTGTGTGTGTAAATTGACTCCACCTGTGATGTGACTGAGTGTACTTCTGGTTGATGCATTCCGCTGAGTAAATGCACTCTTCTCACACAGATCTCATGCCTCCTCAAGTTATTACATTTTGGCGACGAGGATACGCAAGGGGGAATACTTTGATGATGAAAGGAGTTTTTTGGAAGGTGAAAAGGTGAAGAAGGAAAAAAATGGATCTCTATGAGTTGGAGCTTTGGAAAAGATGGTCAATCTGGTAGGAACAGTCACACCATTTGATAGTCAGTCCCAGTCTTGGGAAGAATATTGTGAAATATTGCAGCATTTCTTCGAGGCAAATGAGATTACAGAAGCAGCCAAGCAGAAAGCTATATTGTTGAGCTCTGTGGGAAGTCAAACATACAGTCTACTGAGAAATTTATTAAGTCCAGTTAAACCAGGCTCAAAGACGTTTGATGAATTAGTGGACTTACTTAAAGAGCATTTCAACCCAAAGCCCAGTGAAATTGTACAACGATTTAAATTCAATTCAAGAGAAGAGGGGGAAACTGTGCTTGATTATGTAGCAGTATTGAGGAAATTGGCTCATGATTGCAATTATGGAGAAAAACTGACAGAAATGCTTTGGGATCATTTCAACCCAAAGCCCAGTGAAATTGTACAACGATTTAAATTCAATTCAAGATCAAGAGAAGAGGTGGAAACTGTGCTTGATTATGTAGCAGTATTGAGGAAATTGGCTCATGATTGTAATTATGGAGAAAAACTGACAGAAATGCTTCGGGATAGACTGGTATGTGGCATAAATGATGACCGTATTCAACGTAGACTATTGGCAGAAACTGATTTAACATTTGAGAAGGCATTGAAAATAGCCCAAGCAATGGAAACAGCCAATAAAGATGTGAGAGATTTGCAAGCTCAACGCCCAGAAACATCCATTTCAGTAAGAGTGCATAACATGTCAGTAAGGACCCAATTTATTGGGCAGAGGATGGATTAAGGAATTGGGCATGAATGGGAGGGGTGAAAATTTTAACTTTGCCTGAAGTCCTCCAACATGAAGAATTGTTTAAAGAGGAGTTGGGGGAATTGAAGGGTCCACCAGCGAAGATTTATGTAGATAAGGAAGCAGTCCCAAGGTTTTTCAAAGCCTGACCGGTCCCTTATGCAATGAAGGCAAAGAGAGGAGGACAAAGAATGCATTATGTGAACAGAGATTAAAAAAGTGCATCTGCATCTGATGAAGAAGGTATTTTTACAGTGTACAGTTTGCAAAAAACAGAAATTCCAAGAGTAGCTCCGCTGACCATCACATTGGCTGTTAATGAGTCAAATGCACAGTTTGAAGTGGATACAGGATGTGGTGTGACAATAATGAATAGGTCCAACTTTGCCAAATTGTGGGAAACAGATAAAATTCCTAAATTAAGAGACCTGTTCTTTGAATTTAAAGGCTTACTGCAGTTGAAACGGAGTAAATGTACCTTCATGGAAAAAGAGGTAATGTTCTTAGGTCATAAAGTGGATGAGACAGGCCTCCATCCCGCAACAGAAAAGGTGACAGCTATTCAAAATGCTCCCTCACCAACGAATGTGACAGAATTGAAGGCTTATTTAGGACTTTTAAATTATTACAATAAGTTCTTGCCCAACCTGTCTACTGTTTTAGCCCCTGTGCACAAGTTGCTGCGAAAAGATGCAAAATGGAACTGGGCTGGGGAACAAGAGGCTGCTTTTGCTCAGTCTAAAAAAATGATTCAC